ACACATATATGTGTATATATACTTATATGCAGAAGCATATATGTATGTATACATACATATATATATATATATATACACACACACACACACACACACACACACACATACATACTTATAGTGCAGAAGCACATAAAACTTCTTGAGTGTTTCTATTTTTATATCCCAGTTTGGTGCTGTAGTCCCAGGGAAGTTCTAGACAGCTGCCAGCTTCAGTGTGCATTGGAATCCCAAGGAAGTAGGTTCTAACACCAGAGAAGGATGCTCAGGAACAGGATGGATGAACTTGCCAGTGAGAGTGAGGGCAAGCAAGCAAAAAGCCAAAGCTTCCTTCCATTTTTGTTTGTTGGCTGCTACCAGAAAGTGTGGCCCAGATCTCAAATGATCCAGATTTGGTTGGTCTTCCTACCTCAAACAATCTACTCAAGACAAAGCCCTCAAGTGTGTCCAGACACTTGGGTTTTAGTTAATTTCAAACAGTCAAGTTGACAGCCAAGGTTAGCCAGCTCGCTGGGCCTCACTATTTAACCCTCACCAACCAGGACCTTACTATGTGGAACTGGCCAGCCTTGAATTCACAGATCTGTCTACCTCTGCCTCTAGAGCACTGGAATTAAAGTGTGTACCTTCACACTTAGCAGAGGTAGTTTGTTCTTTTCTCTCTCTCTCTCTCTCTCTCTCTCTCTCTCTCTCTCTCTCTTTTGTGCGAAAAGATTGCTCTGTGTAGCCCTGGCTGCCTTGGAACTCACTCCGTAGACCAGGCTAGCCTTGAACTTAGATATCTGATCCACTTGCCTTTGTTTCCCAAGTACTGGGATTAAAGTTGCTCACCACACCAAGCAGTAGTTATCTCTTAATTTTGTTTGCACACAATCAGATAGTGTCATTTTTCTGTGTGACCTGTTTTTTTTTCTTTAGCATGTTTGTTAGACAATTAACCCAACCCTTTACAAGAAGTCCAGATAGTCCCACTCTTCTTCAGCTGCATCTTTAACTGAATTGTTAGGTTGCCTTCGCTCCAGGCTTGAACCCCCGTCTGTTTGCATAGGTCATTTGATTTTAATGATCTTTGGTGGCAGGTGCATTGATGCGCTTACGTTTTCCAGTTGGCTTAGCCAGAGCTTCCCATTACAGCAGAAAGCAAAGGGATGATAAATTCATACTTGTTCTCTTGTCTCATGCCGTGACAGTAATACTTACTTTTTGCTTAATGGGCTAACACTAAGCTGTGAACCAAGCTCCCTCCAAATCGTGCACTCGTTTCTGTAGCTTTTAATCATTCAGCTGTCCTTGCTGACCTGTGTGAGTTTATCTGTACTGGTATCTTCAATACTGATATATTTTGGCATATAGCGTGTAATATAGAAATCAACCTGCAGCACTCCCTCCTTTAGGACAGCGTTGCTTAGCATTTGGGTATACTTTGTGGTTTCCTTACTTCTGGTATTGGTAATAAAGGAAGCAAGCGAACAAGGAAAAGACACCATGGACATTCTTGTAATGTGAACCCTGTAGCTTATATGCCCCTTTACTTTGCAAACCTTGACTAAATTTCAATTTGTAGTCTCACATAACTCCCAAAGTATGATCAAGTATACCAGCTGCTGGATGTTTTCTTCAGGGATGTTTCTTGTGACATTTTCTGGTGCTTCTGTTTTTATGACTGTCTTAAGTCCTTGGTTTGACTTGGGATCCTTTCATATAAAAAGTCTTTAAAAAAATCAACCACTGGCTTCAAACTATTCATTTAATCACTTGGGAATCTTTCTCATGGTATTGAATTGGCCTCAGGAAAGTTTGTGTCCTCTCTAGACTAATGGCACCAGATGATGGCATAAGTGTGACAGCTACACTGACGAAACCTTGTCATTCTCAAAACCATTTTGTTTTTTTCAAATGACTATTTGCTTTACCCTGGTGAGCTTAAGTTTCTAGGGAAGAAGTGGACAAGTTGGATAATTAAGCAGACAATAGCACAAAAGCATTCTCTTCTTAATAATATATATTTTTGCTTGTAAAATTGCAACTGACAGAAACACTAATCATTGTAATTTCAGCCAATATAGTACAAAACATATGTTCTTAGTAAAATACTAATGAATATATAAAAGGGAATAATCAAAAGATGAAAGTTTTCTTTTTCCTTCAACAAAACAATGCCTTTCTGCCTGGACATGGAAACAGTCATTTATATGCCTGGTTTGAAAAGACCTACTTCTTTGTGCTTGTCCCAGAAGCCCACAGGTTTGCGCTGTAGATGGGGCTCCCGATTCCATTTACCCAAGGTCACCATGGCAGGCCTTTGTAATAGTACTCGGGAAGGCCACAGTGCTAGGGCGGTGGGCTAGGTTTATAAATATTGGCTTTTGGAAGGACCCTCCAGTCATTAAAACCCTGTTTCTGATCCTGCCTTCCTGAAGCTGAAAAAAGGCTGGAGAGATTGACATGCAAAAGATTTGTTTTTTTTAGGGTCATCCAAATAGTGCATATGTCCTTCTGGTTGAGTTGCCCTTTTTGGAAGGAGTGGGGGGACACTGGTAGTTCTTAGAAGTAGAGGGTGTTAAACAGGACATTAGATGCCCTAAAGAGAATGTTGGAAACCTATTATTATTAAAAAAAAATACCCT